TTTTCTGAATGGGGATTAGTTGGTGATTGTTTGTAACAAATATGCTAATGCTTTAGAAATGTCAGTATTTTTGTAATTATTTCTACCTCCAAATATATATATATATTGTCTCTCACTGGATAATGTGTGTAGATTTTTACATGTGCCTTATTTGACAATGCTTTCGTCTTGGTTTTGCTTGTCTCATTTGAAGTTTTTATGATGTTGAACTGTGCAGCAGTGTAGGTTATATAGCCTTCATTTTTTTTTCCTTTTTTTTTAAAGCAGATGTTCACCAATGTCAGCAAAACTCAGCCTGAATTTAAAGGTGGCATTCCATCCACTAACATCCCCCAGGTCCTCTCTGTATGTACTTCTGTTAGAATGCATTTGTTTGGCTAGGCACAAAGTTGTTTTCCACTGCATACTAACTAAAGAAGCCCTTACCTTGCTCCATGGATTAATTCCTTCTGTTCATTTCCCAACTGCACTATGGTGCGTTTTAACCCTGCCTGTCTTTGTGCATGTTTTGATTGATTTCCTAATTCCTGGCTTTCGGTTCTCTTGAAACTGTTGCCCAGTCACTGCTCCAGTTCTCTTCCTCTCTGAAATACTCCTTATTATCATGAAGTCACAGACCAACAAAATGTTGGGCAGAACATACTAAAGTTACTCCACTTCACAGCACACTGGGTGTGACTTCATATTGAGGCAGCATTATGTACTGTGTGGAAATAGGTCACTAAAATTTCTAGCAAAATGTAATTTGCCAGTTTCCAGAATTTCCAGTACAGGAGCACCTAACAAGAGAGCTATTGCTCAATTCCAATTAAATGTGGGTGACAAAGTGAAATTTAGAAGATATAAAGAAAGAGTTGTCTAGTTGATATTTAACTCTTTATTAAAAACTTTCTTTAAATTTTTGCCTGTCAGTCTGTATTGCTGTTTTTATTATACATTGGTTTCTTTGTGTAACTTGTGAGTTTTCATGTGTTTTATTTGTATTATGTAAATATCATTATAAATAAATTTAATTTATAAATCAAGGATGTGTTAATTATTGGAGCTCTTACTTTTGAAAGGACATCCTAACTTGCTAAGATGTTAGGTAAACTCTTAACTTAGAAGGTGAATGAAGATCTCACAGTGATTGTTTTCAATGTTACTGACTTGTCGGAAGACTTCTTGAAGGTGTACTGAATACATTGATACATTTCAACATTATAGGGCTAAAAGGAATTGCAAATGTCAATACTACCTCCTGCTGCAGCACAGTATGAGAATCACATAGATCCCCTTTCAAAGTCACATGGTAGATTTCTCCTGACGCTACTGTGTTAATGTATCTTCAAGAATAGACTACTTTGGTTGTTGTTGTTGTTGGATGTCATAACCATATTTTCTCTAATGAAATGTAGTTGGGTTCTCCCTGTAACGCTCTATTATGTCTTGGGTTTAATAAAGATATTTGTGATCATGTTGTATTTTTATACCCTTTTCAGTAGTTTCTAACCTTCTTCTTTACCATTAAAAATATATTGAGGGAAATGAGATCATCTTGTATTCTTAAAATATTAACTGTCAAAACAATTGAGACTTATCGATTAGGATGTATTCGTCATTTGGCTGGTGTCAGTAAACATGGTATTGTTACCAGTAAAGAGCAAATGAAGTCAATTTTTAGAGCATTGTCCTTTTTTTTTTTTTTACATTAATCTTCAGTATTAATATTACTCCTTTAAGGACTTTTTCCCAAACCCCAAATAAAAGCCTATTTACATTAAAATGTACACATAGAAAAGTACTCTCATGTTTTCCCTGGGGGAAAAACAATACAAGGTTCTTGGATATCAGCTTTTATATATTAATTATGGTTGAGTTCTTGGTTTTTTAGCTCTAGCATATGTTTTTATTTTTATTTATTTTTGCTTGTCATGGGGCTTTAACTTAGAGCCTGGGCACTGCTTCTGAGCTTCTTTTGTTCAAAGCTAGTGCTCTATCACTTGAGCCACAGCGCCACTTCAGGCTTTCTTCTGTGGTACCAAGGAATCTAACCCAGGGCTCCTTGTGCTAGGCAAACACTCTACCACTGAGCCACATCCCCAGCCCTTATCTTTATTTTTTAATTTATTATTTTATTTTTTTGTCAATTGTGGGGCCTGAACTCGGCCTGGGTGCTATCCCTCAGCTCTTCAGCTCATCTTGTGCTCTACCACTTGAGCCACAGCACCACTTCCAGCTTTTTCTGCTTTTGTGGTGCTGAGCAATCGAACCTAGGGCCTGATGCATGCAAAGCAAGCATTCTACCACTGAGCCACCTTCCCAGCCCATAGCACACATTTTTAAATTACAGAAAACATCTGGTTTATAAATGTAGGGTGCCATTGCTGAGAAAATAGACTTAGCCAGGTGAATGTGTTCTTTCTCTCACCATATAATGAAGCAGCAGTAGCTGGTAGTTGAATTTTATTAAGTACAAATGCTAATTTATTACCATAGTGTTTATTTGTGTGGGAGTTGGTTAGAACCACAGACAATCCTTAACAAGAATGTGGTGCTGGACACCGGTGGCTCACACCTAACTACTCAAGAGGCTGAGATCTGAGGATCGTGGTTCAAAGCCAGCCCGGACAGGAAAGTCCGTGAGACTCTTACCTCCAATAAACCACTAGAAAACTGGAAGTGGTGCTGTGGCTCAAGCAGTAGAGTGCTCGCCTTGAGCTGAAGAGCACAGGGACAGCACCCAAGCCCAGAGTTCAAGCCCCACGACCGACCAAAAAAAAAAAAAAAAAATGGTTTGGAGTTTCCATGAATATTGACCATGTCTATGTGAATCAGGCCTGACCATCCTCAATAGTCAGAATCCTTCAAACTGCGCCCAAGAGTGCCAAGAGTGAAAATTCAGTTCAAGCTTTATTATTTCTTCTGGTTTGGGGGAAGTTGATGGATACAAGTTTTCATCAGAGTACCGGCTTATAAAACTAGTGCAGGAAGTTTCTCAGCCACACAGAGGATGGATGCCCTGGGAGCTGTTTGGCCAACTTGTCAGGTGCAAATGGGGCCCATCCAGCAGAGGGAACATCTCTAATAATCGTTTTACTGTTGGTAGTGGGGCTTGGGCTCAGCCTCAAACTCTTGCTTGGATATTCCTACTCGTGGCTGATGTCCCAATGGGATTATTTGAGACACTATTGTCATCCAAAGTTCCATTTTGGTCTTCATTCTGAATTTTAACTTGCAAGAATGCTATGTATCTGCCATAATAGGATGACACAAATAGTTCCATTGCTCAAAAAGTGTGTGTCACCCTCCCTCCTCACTAACCTAGCAATATTCTATCTTCACTGTCTCCATAGTTCACTTTCTCCAGCATATCAAGTAGCTGAAACTGTAATGGATTTAAGCCAATGGCTCACATTTTTATTCCTAGCTACTTAGGAATCATTGTTCAAGGCCAGCCCAGGCAGAAAATTTCACTAGATTCTATCTCCCAAATAATTAGCAAAAAGCAGAGTTGGCTGTGTGGCTCTAAGGTTAGAGCACCAGCCAAGCAAAGCAAGCATGAGGCCCTGGTTACAAATCCCTGCGCTGAAAAAATGCATGTAACCTAACTATTTTTTTAAAATTTCATTGTAAAAGTAATGTGCAGAGTGGTAAGTCAATGGTAATTACAGTGACGTAAGTCAGGTAATGAGCACATTTCCTTTTGAACAGTGCCACCTGACTTGCCCTCCTCCCCCAGTTGTTGAGTTCATTTCCAACATAGTGTCCAGTGGGTTTTACCATTGAATTGGTTCACCCTTTGTTCCTCCATTTCTGTGCTTCCCCTTCTCCTAGATTGCTAGATAACACAGCAAGACTGTTGTTGAATTCTAGAAACCAGTTCCCATTTCACATCGTCAGCAATAAATCACTTGCTCCCATCCTCACTAGTATTTAGTTAGGGCTGTGTTTGGGATCTTCACTGTTCTAATAGGTGTTCAGCATCTCATCTTAATTTCAGATCCCTGGTTGAGCGGTGTTGGGCACCTCTTTGCATTTTGCCATCTGCATGTCTTGTTTGGTGAGGTATATGTTCATGTGCTTTGCTGATACTTTATCAGTCTTTCAATTTTCATAGCTCTTTGTATATTTTCAATAACATTCTTGGTCAGATAAATGTGCAAATATTTTCTCACAATCTATTGTCTTCTAATTTTCTTGATGTTTTGTTGTTTGCTTTTTGCTGTTGTTTTGTGTGTGTGTGTGTGCGCGCATGTGCACACCCACATGCATGCACACGCATACTCCATAACTTGGACTCTGGGACTCACACTTGTTTAGCTTGCCTGCTCAGCCAGCTCTCTACCATTAGAGCCACACTTCCACTTCCAGCTTCTTCCTAGTTAAATCAAAGTAATAGTCTTACTGACTTTTTTTTTTTGTCGGTCGTGGGGCTTGAACTCGGCCTGGGCGCTATCCCTCAGCTCTTCAGCTCAAGGCGAGCGCTCTACCACTTGAGCCACAGCGCCACTTCCGGCTTTTTTCTTTTTTGCTTATGTGGTGCTGAGGAATCGAACCCAGGGCCTCAGGCATGCAAGGCAAGCGCTCTACCACTGAGCTAACTTCCCAGCCCCAGTGAGTTCCTTCTTTATATTATCTATGTTGGTTAAATGTCAAATGGCTTTATCACTAGTAAAAAGCAGGCAAATACAACTATATACTTCCCTGTCTGTGAATCCTAACAGGAATACAGTTGCCAATCCCTGACATGATTGGTCATTATGTGGATCAATTATGAATGTAATTATTTGTGCTGTGGCCACTGAAGTCCAAACCAGTTTTTTTTTGGGGGGGGGTAGGGGGGAGCTGGGAAGAACTAAAGCTTTTATGCCTCTTGGAACCAGTCAGTAAAGTCTCCATCTATCTTAAACTACTTTTCTTCCATTAGAAATGGAGCATGCTATTCTCAAAGCAAAGAAAAATGTGTGTGTGTGTGTGTGTGTGTGTGTGTGTGTGTGTGTGTGTATACATACAGGTACTGGAAACAAAATACTTCTTTATTAAAGCAAAATGTGGCAAAAACTGAGGTGGAGGTGGGGAGAGGAACAGGCATCAGTCAGCCAGGCGGTGTGGGTGCGTGGGTAGATGTGGGCGTCAGGCAGGTGGGGCTGTCTCATTTGGTGGGGGACCCATGTCTGCCAACGGTGGAGCCTGCACGAGGCATGGCAGAGCTACAGTCTGGTTTGGGGTCTTCTCTGTATCCAGTCAGAGATGGCAGGAATGGCCTGGACTTTCTTCCGTAATGCCCCCAGCCTGGGGTACATGTCTAGCAAGTCAGGCTTCAGGGCCAGAAGTGTGGTACTGCAAATCTCCCAATAGAAATCTGCCCAAGTTACCTATTAAAGGCAATGGAAAACTATTAGATTTTGAACATACCAGTATCTAAATTAACCTCAACTTTGTAATTTTTTTTTTTTAGGACTTGAACTCAATACCTGCTGCTTCCGCTTTACCCACTGAGCCACTCCTCCAGCTTTTTAATTTCTTAATGTAAAAGGTAATTTCTTTTTAACTGAGAAAAACTCTTTTTTAGTATAGAAGCTGAGTGTACATAGGATATAAATCTAAGTGGTATGTAACGCCATACTTCCACTATGACTAATAGTTGTACAGGACTACAAGTTGTATAGGAGAAAGTAAAACAAAAAAATGTTGTTGTTGTTGATCTCCACTTCCTGAGTAGCTAAGATTACAGGTGTGAGTTACCGGCTCCCAGTGAAAGTAAATTTTTTTTGAGTAACATGTATAATATCAGGAGAAATGATTTTCCTGACCATTAGTAGAATCCTAAGATCAGCCACCAGATGCTGGTGATGACCAGAGATTAAACTGTATGATGTTACATTGGTTCTGCATTCATATTTGTAAACGAGAGAAATTCAGATGAGATTGGGTGTGTTCAGGTGAAACGACCATAGACCCAACAGAGAAATTCAATTCTGAGTTATTCTTAGCCTTGTGTGGGTTTGGAATTCAGTGAAGGTGATTGCCTGGCTGTTTCTAGCCATCTATCAGTCAAGTGGCAGCATCGATTATGAGAGTCAGGGTTTAGCCAAGAAATATTTATCAGTGAATTGCTGTGTGCCACACACTGGTCTAAGTATTGGAGAATTGACTAGAGAGCAAACTGCAACCCCCTTTTCTGATGTGGCTTATTTGTTTGTGTGTAGTACTTTTCATAGGCTAGGCAAGCACTTTACTTCAGGGCTGCGTCTTCAACTCCAGGCTTTTATCTTGGAAGAAAACAAATGAAATATACAGAACATAACAAGTGATAGAAATGTGAAATGAGAAACTCATAAAGTGAAGCCATTTCAGTGGTGACAGGTAAGCTGGGCGTGGTGGTACACATCTGTAATCTCACATACACAGAAAGATCATGAGTTCAAAACCAGCCTGGGCAATGAGTCCCTATATCAAAAAACAAAAATAAAAACAACAAACTGGAGACATAGCTCAAGCGATAGAACATTTACCACCTAAGCACAAAGCCTTGAGTCCAATCCCTAATACAGAAACAAGATGTGACAGGTAAGTCAGGGGCTCAAATGTGTGTGTGTGTGGGGAAGGAATGTCATAAACTTTTATAGACATTTATTTTGAGTTATCTCATTCCATTATTGTTGATATTCTTATCAGAGTTTGAATTGTCCAGTCTTTGGCTGAAGGAAGCCTGAGTCACACTGCTACCTCTCTGGTCTTATTTGCTGTTGTTTGCTTCGGGAGTGACAGGGTCTACTCATCTCATTCTTTATATTCCCCTTCCAAGTTGAGACTAGTAAGAACCAAGAATCCCTGGTTCTTTTTAATACTTAAACTAGAAACTGGGTATGAGAGCGCTCAGGACTACTGGGTTTATCATTGCCTCAAAGACAAATGGTGTGCCAGACACCTGTGGCTCACATCGTTAATCCTAGCTACTCAGGAAGCTGAGATCTGAGGACTGAAGTTTGAAGTCAGCCTGCGGGAGTGAGACTCTTATTTCCAATTAACCACCCCAAAAAAACTGGAAGTGTGTGTGGGGGGAGTGTAGTTCAAGTTGTAGAGCTCTAGCCACAAAAATCTCAGGAATAGAGGCTGGGAAGATGGCTCAGTGGTAGAGCGCTTGCCTTGCATGCCTGAGGCCCTGGGTTTGATTCCTCAGCACCACATAAGCAAAATGAAAAAAGCCGGAAATGGCGCTGTGGCTCAAGTGGTAGAGCGCTAGCCTTGAGCTGAAGAGCTGAGGGACAGCGCCCAGGCCCAGAGTTCAGTCCCCACAACCGGACCCAAAAACAAACAAACAAAAAAAACAAAAATCTCAGGAATAGCACTCAGGCCCTGAGTTCGCGTCCCAGGATTGGCACAAACACACACCTTTCCCCCCCCACAACCTAAGATGACAAGCATCATGAGTGTGTACTGTCCCCCTCCAGCTCAACCTAGGGCTAGGGTATCAGCTGAACCTCACAGATTCCACTTCTATCTCCTGCTTCTACACCGCAGACCCAGTACAGCAACACAACTCCTTTGTTTTCTGCTCACAATAATGGACATAATATTATAAAAATGATACCACCAGAAATATTGCTGAGAATGGAGTATAGTTTTAATTTTTTGTTCTACATGAATATCTGTCTTGAGGTGTATAATCAAATTATGGTAATTTTGGGAATAGTTCCTCACTAATAGAATATGGGTTGAAATTATGTATTCTCTACATACTCTCTGTAGCTATTTCACATGCTTTGGCTCATTCTTTCACTGTGCTTTTCAATTTTGGGATAGTTTTTCTTTTTTTTTTTGTCAGTTCTGGGGCTTGAACTCAGAGCCTGGGCACTATCCCTTAGCTTCTTTTGCTCAAGTATAGCACTCTGCCACTTGAGCCACAGCACTACTTCTGGCTTTTTCTGTTTATGTGGTGCTGAGGAATCAAACCTAGGCTTCATGCATGCTAGGCAAGCACTCTACCACTGAGCCATATTCCTAGCCCTTAGGATAGCTTTTTATAAATTGTTGTTATATAATTCATAAAACATTGTACGATTCCAAGGTCAAATCTACTAAAGAACAATAAAAAGGGTTAACTTGTTATTTCTACAGTATAACTCATTCCTCCCCATATGAATAATACTTTCTTTCAATAAAATTTTGGTTTAGTGTTTTATTAAAATATAGGTATATTTATCTTTTGCACTTCTTTGGTCCTGAACTCTGGGCCTGGGCACTGTCCCTGAGCTTCTGTGTTCAAAGGTAGTGCTTTACCACTTGAACCATGGTTCCATTTTTGGCTTTTTGTGGTTAAATGGAGATAAGAGTCTTAGAGACTTTCTTGCCTGGGTTGACTTCAAATGGCGATCTTCAGATCTCACCCTCCTGAGTAGCTAGGATTATAGGTGTGAGCTACCTGTGCCCAGCTACCATAGGTTTTTGTTTTTTGCTGGTCCTGGGGTTTGAACTCAGGGCCTGGGCACTGATCCTGAGCCTCTTTGTGCCCAAGGGTAGTGCTCTACCGCTTGAGCCACCATTGCCTGGCTAACATATGTGTGTGTGTGTGTGTGTGTTCTATGTTATATATATTAACATGTATATATATACATATATTAACATGTAAAACATACTCACAGAGTTATCAATAAGCCACTCTTTGTCCCCTAAATATGCATGCAAATCCTGAAGAAGGCAAGGTGCATCATGAGTCAGCAGGTCCTGGAAAATCTGATCCTATGAGAGAGAGAAGACATCACTTAAAAAATTATAAGAAAAGGAAGTGATTAGAAAAGGAAGTCAGTTTTTCATTGTTTTCTCTCTCATGAGAGAAGAAAGGAATAAAAAGTTACAAGTTTTCTTTATTTGTTCATGTTTGGGATATCTTGGAGAAATCTGATATTCTCTAGACCTTAGTCATTTTTGGGGGGTGGTCAGTCATGGGGCTTGAACTCTGGGCCTGGGCGCTGTCCCTGAGCTGACTCTTCAGCTCAAGGCTAGCACTCTACCACCTGAGCCACAGCACCACTTCTGGTTTGCTGGTGGTTTACTGGGGATGAGTTTCATGGACTTTCCTGTCTGGGCTGGCTTTGAACCATGATCCTCAGATCTCAGCCTCCTGAGTAGCTAGGATAACAGGTGTGAGCCACCGGCATCCAGCTGGTTATAGTTTTAAATGAAGCATTGGAGTGAATCCTGTGTGCATAGAATCTATGAGACGAGGCCCAGGGAGCCAGAAATGTTTTGTCCTTCCCACAGCGTGGCTGAACTTAGCACTGTGGGAAACAAAAAGACACCCGCACGGTTCCCCAGCAGAGCTAGAATCGGGAGATTTGAATGGAACAGGGCATTGCTATTGCTGGTCATCTCTCCTAAACTCTCAATGTGCCTGCCTGCCTGCTAATTCTGTTCTAGTGTGCATTCTTATAGCTTCAAGGACACCAAAGTGTGTTTTTGTGCAGTGTGCCAGGTAAAAGATCTGTGCTAATATGGGCTCCTTTAGTCTGAGTTCCTTACACGTTTGGTGAATTATCTCAATGTAAAATGTAACTGGTAAACAACACAATTATTATTCAAGGTTCATTTGAAAGAACATGCTCCAAAATACTATAAAGAAGAAATTTATTTGTCATTAAATATAGAGCAAATATGATATTTTATTTATTTATTTAGCCAGTCCTGGGGTTTGGGCACTGTCCCTGAGCTTCTTTGAAGGCTAGGGCTCTACAACATGAGCCATAGTGCCACTTCCAGATATTTCTGTTTATGTGGTACCGAGGAACTGAACCCAGGACTTTATGTATGCTAGGCAAGCACGCTATCACTAGGCCACATTCCCAGCTCTTGAGTATATATTGTTAAGAAAATGTTTCTCCAAAAAGAAATGTACTCATTACCTGACATTAAATTGTAATCCCTAGATACAGCACCTTTATAACAACAATACAAATTTAAAAAAATTAAGTTTCTGCCAGGCACTGGTGGCTCACACCTATAATCCTAGCTACTGAGGAGGCTGAGATCTGAGGATCGAGGTTCAAAGCCAGCCCAGACAGCAAAGTCCATGAGATTCTAATCTCCAATAAACTACTCAGAAAAAGCTGTAAGTGGCCCTGTGGCTCAACTGGTAGAGCACTAGCCTCAAGAAAAAGAATCTCAGGGACAGTGCCCAGGCCCCAAGTTAAAGATCCAGGACTGGCACACACACACACACACACACACACACACACCTCTAAACCTACTCAGATGGCTGAGATCTGAGGATCGGAGTTTGAAGCCAGCCCAGGCAGCAAAGTCCATGAGACTCTTTTTTTGTTGTTGCTGTTGTTGGTGCTCATGGGGCCTGAACTCTGGGCCTGGGTGCTGTCCTTCAGTCCTTCAGCTCAAGGCTAGCACTCTACCACTTTGAGCCACAGCGCCACTTCTGGCCTTTTCTGCTTATGTGGTGCTGAGGAATCGAACCCAGGCCCTCATGCATGCAAGGCAAGCACTGAACGACCTTCCCAGCCCTTCATGAGACTCTTATCTTCAGTTATCCACCAGAAAACCAGAAGTGGAGTTCTGGCTCAAAGTGGTAGAATGGTAGCATTGAGCAAAATTACTCAGGGACAGTGGCCAGGCCTGACAAGCCCCAGGACTGACAAAAATAAAATAAAACAATATGTTTCCTGATCAATCTAAGACAGCTGTTGTACACTTCGGATTCAAAGATTTCTTGTTTCTGCTTCCAGAAAATTGTAAAGGAAGTGTTTTTGTGCTGAGATGTCATTGTATACTAACAAATGGATGTTAGGTATTGTGGAAGGTTTGGTTCTTTAAAGCATTGCTTTTATAACCACACTATCAGCCTTCCTGAGTGTTGGAATGGGACCATTAGAATTCCCTCTGTCCGGCTCACCCCTCCCCACCCTGCTCCTGGGTAAGGGAATAAATACAGATGCACTGCTTTCGCAAAGTGGCACCCACTGCAGATTCACCGATTACGGCGGTGATCAGTGACCACAGGTATGTTTTGCCATTAATCAAACATGTGTAATTGCTGTGTGTATTTGATGGTTTTTTTTTTTTCCTACACACATCTAGTAAGGAATGTTTTACTGTCACCTTACTGAATCAATCCTGTCTGCTTTTCCATCCTTACCTGACCAGAAGGTGGCAGCAACTGAACCCACTTCAGAAAGGCCAAGAGCCGAAATGCAGAACTTGATTTCCCTTGTGCAGGGGCGGGGGGGGGGGGGGGGGGGGGCAAGGATTGTTGACTAATTAGTCTGTAGCTACTGGTCCTGTTTCACAACACCTCCTGCCTTCCCATGAGTTACGATAAAGTGCGCTTGCTTGGCTCTGGCAAGTTGTAAGAGGTATGCAAGGGCATTGTTCTTTATGAGTTTGCTCAGGATAATAATAAATACTTTTTAAGGACAATGCCTGTAGAGCACATATGAGGACATCCAAACCAGATGGAAGCTGCATGGCTCCAAATCCCTGCTCTTGCCTTATTGCCTGGGGTCACCCTTCATTTTCACTTTTGGAATTCTAGAGGACAGGTTCACAGTAAGCGGGGGGCATATACAAGAAAAGAGGCCAGCTTCTAGGACAAAGGACTGTCACCAGAGAAAGGCAATGCTTGAGACATCAGGGGAAGGAAGTTCAATATGAAGCTGTGCAAAAAACCTGCCCAGAGAGCCAGGCCCTGGAGGGCCAGAGGTCTCCAGCCCAGACAGCTCCAACAAAAGACTGGAAATATTAGGTGACTTGTGGAAAATTGAGAACCTATAAATAGTGTGCAGACTTGGGAATCACAGTGAGAAAAATTAAGAAAAAGGAAAAGAATGCAGGGACTAACTTTGAGGTAGAAAAGTGAGAAAGAAAACATTAGTAGAACATAGTATACTACAATGTAATTTGCACAGAAATACTAATATAATTGTGGAATATTGATAGACCCACACATGTTTTGATATAATTATTTGGGGAGTTTGGAGAAAGGGAAATAGAAGAAAGGATTATGTAAGAGATAAATTCTCATCGTTACCCTATGAAGTTCAACAAAACCAACTCAAATTGATGGATCAAAGTCATATGTATGTATGCTAAAGAAATATGGAGGTGCATTCAATTGTAGTGGCTCCTGCCTATAAGTGTAGCTACTCAGAAGGCAGAGATCGGAAGGACTGTGATTTATGGTCAGCCCAGGCATAAAGTTCAAGAGTCTAATAGCTGGGCATGTTGGCACATACCTGTCATCCAAGCTAAGGTGGGAAGTATAAAACAGGAGGATCACAGTTTAGGCCAGCCTGAGCCAAAAAATGAGAAGACTACCTCAACCAGGGACAAAAAGGGCTGGAGGCTTGGTTCAGCTGGACAATACTGGCCTAGCAAGCCCCGGGTTATGAGAAACTGCAAAGGGGGAAAAAGGGAAAAGAAATAAAATATAGACATATCCTAAAGAAACATCTGGAGAAGAGCTGATAGGAGGAGTCAAATTTGCTTCAAATTTTAACTTGGATAGTTTTAAAATTAAACCTACATATTATGTAGAGAAACAACTTTCTCAACTTTCTAAAGTACCTAACACAGTGTCTGTAACTCAGTGTGTATGCTTCATAGCATCAATAGTAAATGGATTGCCTTACTTTTACATCTTGCTGCTTCTCTGCCCAAGGAAAACGAGACATGAAATCATCCAAGGTGTCCACAATAGCATCCACTCGACACTGCTCCATGTCTGTTTTCCCAGCCAGATCTGTGGAGTAGAGACCAACTGACCACCTGACCGACACCAACTGACCAACACCAGCAAGGTAAATAGGAAGTGTCTTCATAGGACCAGCACTCTCCAGAGGTCCAGCTTCCATCCACCTGTTTGTTCCCTTTCTCACTTACCTTATTCACAGACCACGTTTATTAGCATCTTATGCGGTCATCATCTTTTCTTTGTGAAATAAGGATATATATTCCAGCTGGGCACTGGTGGCTCACACCTGTAATCCTAGCTACTCAGGAGGCTGAGAATCGTGGTTCAAAGCCACCTGGGCAGGAAAGTCCTTGAGACTCTTATCTCCAATTAAGTACTGAAAAATCAGAAGTGGCACTATGGCTCAATGTGGTAGAGCACCAGCCTTGAGCAAAAAATAGCTCAGAGACAGTGCCCAGGTCCTGAGTTCAAGTCCCATCACTGACAAGGGAAAAAAACCACCAAGATCCTCCAGGTCTGAGCAGCTAGGATTGTTATGTGTGAACCACAGCCACCTGACACAGTTAAACTAATTTAGATAGGACATTTATACTACTCTACTACTTACTTCAATTTTATTTGCTCTGTAGATTTGAATATTACTGTTTCTTAAAGAATACTGAATAAACATCATGTAGTTTATCAGTTGCCCAGACTTTTGAACATAATAAACATATTACCTTTGTTTTTTACCAAGAATCTTGCTATTGCGAGGCTCTGGTGAAGAGTATGTCCGTTGACTTCCAAAACAGGGATCTTGCCAAATGGAAGAGCTTAAAATAAAACAAGAATCAGCTGGGCGTTGATGGCTGTAGCCTGTAATCCTAGTTACTCAGGAGGCTCAAATCTGAGGATCGAGGTCCCAAACCAGCCCGGGCAGGAAAGTCCGTGAGACTCTTATCTCCAATAAAACCACCAGATAACTGGAAGTGGTGCTGTGGCTCAAGTGGTAGAGCTCGAGCCTTGAGCTGAAGAGCTGAGGGACAGCACCCAGGCCCAGAGTGCAAGCCTCACAATCAAAAAAGAAAAAAAAAAACCAACCCCCCCGCCTCCCCTGCTAAGAATCAGTTTTATAATAGAACCAAGAGTTACCACACTCTCATTTCTACTGGTAATTGTGGGAAAATATTGTGACTTTAAAGTCTTTGTGTGTGTGTTGTGCCAGTCCTGGGGCTTGAACTCAGGGCTTGGGTGCTGTCCCTGAGCTTTGCTCAAGGCTAGTGATTTACCATTCCAACCACAGCACCACTCCAGGTTTTTCTGAATAGTTTATTGAGGATATGATTCTCATATCCCAGGCTGGCTTTGAGCCAAGATCCTCAGGATCTCAGCCTTCTGAGTAGCCAGGATTATAAGCATAAGCCACCAGTGCCCAGCTATTTCTTCTTCTTCTTTTTTTATTGTGAAAATACTGTACAGAGGGGTTACAATTACATGGGCAAGATAATGAGTACATTTCTTATCAAGCATTGTAGCCTCCTCCTTTGTTTCCCCTTCCCATCCCTTCCCATCCTCCCCCCGCCCCCCCATCCTCCCCGCTCCCCCCACCCCAGCTATTTCTTCTTAAAAGGGACAGCTGGCCACCTCTGATGCACTCTTTACATCTTGTAAGACTAAAGACAATTAGATGACTGGATGTACAGTCAGTTCTAAAACTGGTTATAAAACTCAGGTGTGTCTTTGTGTTTCCTCTAGTATTAGGAAGTTTGCTAGGTCATAGGTATTCATTTAATTTCCCTTTCCTGCTACTTCTAAACTGAAAGGGAAATTTTCAATCTGCTTGAGATCAAAACCCCTTTATTCCCCTCCCCCCCTTTCCTTAAAGAAGGCAGAAAGGCTGTGCAAGTACATACTCCCTATGTGAATGTGAGTATTACATGTGCCACTTACTTGATTTGACTTTAGGCCAGTCAGCTAGCTCTATCCTGTGATCTTCATATTTTATGTCCAAATAAGCAAATATGTAACGAATAATTTCTGCTCTCCCCCTCATATTGAAATAAATCAGTTTGTAGTTTGGCATGGTTTAATGCTGGAAAGACAAAAAAGAGCAAAAATGTTTTAACAGACTTCTGGACATAGCTCAGTCATTTCTTTTAGTGGCTTTTTAGAAAACTTTATAGCATCTTGTGAGATAACAAGAGATACCAGAGGATATTTTGAAACAAAAATAGTAAGTCACGATCTAGTAATAATATATAGTACTCTACTGCTTAAGCCACAGCTCCACTTCTAGCTTTTTCTGAGTAGTTTATTGGAGATAAGCGTCTCATAGACTTTCCTGTCTGCGTTGGCTTTGAACCACCATCTTCAGATCACAGCCTCCTGAGTAGCTAGGATTAGAAGTCTGAGTTTTCCTTGCCCAGCTCTTTTGCCATTTTGTTTGTTTTGTGGATTCCAGGTTTTGTGAAGTTGCCTGCATCATACAAACCCACCCCATCTTGGGACCTGTGTTGGGATGGGAAGATGGTGAGCCTTTTCCCCTGTCTCTCAGAGAAAGAAGAGAGAACTGCGAATACATTATAATTTTATGAGTTTTCTGTGATTTTATATACATTTTTACATTAATTTCTACTGTTTATGAACAGGTTTTAAGGATCTACACTGGAATATGCATATTGTACTGGTCAGGCAGTTGAGAATTTGAAATTCAAGTCTTCTACGTATTTATTTGGCATCTTTGGACTAGTTTACAGAGGCTCCCTGGATTTCAAAGCACATGTTTAAAACTAAGGGTATGGATGTAGATTTGGAGATTCATTAAGTAATGTAGGCAGGTATGACTTTGAATTCTTTTACTATAGACAAGAATTGACCTTGTGAATCTAATATATTAATATGATCATAATGGTATGACAACTATTCATGTAAAGAAATCAGTTAAAATAGTCATTGTGGGGGGCTGGGGAGGTGGCTCAGTGGTAGAGTGCTTGCCTTGCATGCATGAGGCCTTGGGTTTGATTCCTCAGCACCATATAAGCAGAAAAGGCCGGAAGTGGAATGTGGCTCAAATGGTAGAGCACTAGCCTTGAGCTGAAGAGCTGAGAGACAGCGCCTGGACCCAGAGTTCAAGCCCCACCACCAGCCAAAAAGACAAAAACAAAAAACCCAAAACATTGTTTTGGTAATTAGATATCCATTAAAGGGCACATGGCTGTAGAGGTGATTTTTTTTTTTATTAAATCTTGGAGGAAAAGTTGATTTTTACCTTTTACAAACAGTTCCAGAAAATTTAACTTTTAAATTAGACATTAAAAAATAAATTCTAGATTAATGTTACTTATGAGTATGAACATAATCATCCTAAATAAATGACTAGTATTCGCATTTAGTAGTATCTGAAAAGAAATAAAGGCAAAGTTACTTTTTTCTTTTCTTTCTTTTTTTTTCTGGTCATGAGGCTTGAACTCAAGGCCTGGGTGCTATCCCTAAGCTTTTTTGCTCAAGGCCAGCACTCTACCACCTTGAGTCACAGCTCTACTTCTGGTTTTCTGGTGGTATATTGGAATTAAAAATCTTATGGACTTTCTACTTGGGCTGGACCCTCCGATTTCAGCCTTCTGAGTAGCTGGTATCACAGGCGTGAGCCACCGACCGACACCTGGGTAAGGCAAAGGTTTGAATATCAAGCCTCCCTCTGTCTGATAAGCAACACAAGAATAACATACAGGATATTCACCTGTGATTTGCCTAAATTGGATTTGAATAGCCCAGGGGCACGCCCGTGACCTGTTGGTCTCTTATTTCCTGAGCACTTCATTGAAGAGGCCCATGTTTAGAATCTCTTATCGGGAAAAATGCACGTATTTCCTCAAACAATCCAGACCATAAAATTAAAAAAACAAAAAGTAGATTGATCTCCTCTACACTTGAACTACTGGGCTGTTTTCTCCAAAGCCAGATGAAGTTTCTGCCTCACTAGAGAGATAAAGATTCCCTTTAGAATTCTATTTGAGGGCTGGGAAGGTAGAGCGCTTGCCTTGCATGCTCGAGGCCCTGGGTTCAATTCCTCAGCACCACATAAGCAAAAAGAAAAAAGCCGGAAGTGGTGCTGTGGCTCAAGTGGTAGAGCACTAGCCTTGAGCTGAAGAGCTGAGGGACAGCGCCCAGGCCCAGAGTACAAGCCCCACGACTGGACCCCCAAAAAAAAATTGTGGATAGAATGCTATTTGAAAGGTAAGGTTTCCAGTTTATGGAAGAACACATGAATAAATGACTAACTTGAAAACTCTGAGTGGTAAGTGCTTGCCATACAGATACACATACTCAGGAATATAGCCACAAAAGCAGAAGACTGAAGTTTTCATATATATTAAATTTGTTAGGAAATTTTCTATTTTTCTTGGAAACAATAATGTCTTTGAAAAATTCTATCTTAAAAAAAAAGAAAAATTCTATCTTGAGTACTCCATTCTTTTGGGCTTCTAGCTCTTTTTTTTCCTTATTTTTTTATTAATAAGTTTTGTTATTGTGAAAATACCATACAATTACATGAGCAAGCTAATAAGTACATTTCTTATAGCTCTTTTTAAAATTTGTATGACATTACTATTGTAGGCGATTAACAACAAAAATAAATAGGAACATTCAATCACGGAAGCAATTTTAAAATTTCCCTGGATAAAATACAAATTAGCATGATATAATCCATTTAATTTTGACTAAACCAATGTTTCATCTTGACTAAAACTGGCATCTATAGATTGCTATAAAAATACAGTAGAGTCTAGAAAAAAATAACAATTCAAGTCTGATTCTCAGGCAAAGGAGGCTTATATCTAATTTCTATTTCAAACATCTTAATAAAGATGTCAGAGAATTGAAAATAAGAGAGAGCTTTTAGAATAGTCCTGATAGGCAGAACATGTGCACATAAAAACTAAATACTAACAGTTGTCTTACAATTCATTTCAAAACACTGGCCAAACTGAGTTGTTAATCTTTAAATCAAAGACTTTGGGAACTCAAATGTACTTGGGAATTCCAGACACAGATTTTTTTTTTCCATTCTGCCTAATAATTGTGCCATCTAAGAGACTGAAGTATAAAAACAAAGATTATTTGTGAGTTTGCTGACAGCTCTTCTTTGCTATATGTTGATGAACCCACACAAAATACAATGCTATAAAGAATAATCCTTGCACTAAGGTTTGCATACATGCACTCGGTATTTTGAAGACAAAAGCTGGATTTGGCCACCCTACATGAGAGACACTGCTGTCCACATTGACCAGATTGACCTCAAGTAACAGCAGTTTGTCACTCCCGCACCCCCCACCCCCCCTACACACACACACACACACACACACACACACACACACACACACCCCACACACACACTCCCGAGCTCCCCAACAACTATGGTAAAATTCTGACTTTTCTCCTTTTCCAAAATCCTTGCACATTTCTATTTCACTCCTGGAAATGCTACACTGTTAGTGTCAAATTTTCAGAGAGAAATAGAAGAACTTTTGTTTACAGATTTCAGTCAAACACTGGATGTTTGATTTGAAACTAGCAAGCAGGGAATCTCTGTTTTTTGTTTTTTTTTTAACAAATCCCAACAAAATATCACTTTAAATACTTTCCTCCATTAGAACTGAAACAAGTGGGATCATTAAAAATAATTTCTGACCTGGGGCACATCTCCTAAACTTTAAAAGCGAACAATGATAGAATGTAATTCTTAAACATAGGACATGTCAATAAAATGTATTTTAAAATGAAAGAACACACCACAAATAAAATCCTTAGTTTTAAAAAGAACAAAAAATTATCATGAAGTAACATTTTATACTGCTTTATATATTGAAAATTCACTTTGGGAAGTTCTGGAAGAAACTCTGACTGGGATTGGATTTTTTTTTTCCTGTCAGTAATGACTGTTTTCTCTGTTCACATCCACTTGAAGAGATCTATTATGGTCTCCCCAGTTTACATTTTTACCATTTTGATTTCCAAATGGTATTATTAGCTCACTACTCAATCATAGGATGTGACAGCTGTAAGAATAAAACCTGAGGAAGTGGTCCTGTGGCTCAAGCGGTAGAGTGCTTGCATTGAGCTGAAGAGCTCAGGACAGTACTCAGGACAGCCCAGGGTTCAAGCCCCACAACCAACCAAAAAAACAAAAACAAACAAAAAATAAAACCTGAAGAGGGAAGATTATCTCACCACCTATCTGTACAGAGGTTCAACGGTACCACTTACTTGTGCTGTATCTCTGTGGAGTCTCTAGAATCTTCTGTCCCAGGCTTTGTGGCAGCACTGTGGTTTCATGAGACGATTCTCACAAGCTAATAAGAGAGGAAGTGACTTTCTTCTTTCACTTCCTAGATGAAATGTGCCTGGCCAACAGTTCTGCTTCACATTTCCTAAAATCTCTGTGTATAAATGGCCAGGCTTCGGTGGCTTACAAAATCCTTGCTCCTTTTGGAGGCTGAGATCTGAGGATCATGGTTTGGAGCCAGCCCAGGCAGAAGAGTCCATGAGATGTTTATCTTCAGTTAATCAGCATGAAGTTAGAAGTAGCTGTGGCTAAAAGAGTAGAGCACTGTCTTTAGCTGGAGTGCTAAGAGACATCATGCAGAGCCTGAGTTCAAGCCCCAGTACCAGTGTGCATGCATACACACACACATACAAACACACACACACACACACACTTTAAATAAATAACTAATCCAACCCTTTTGCAGACAGGATAAAGTCCAAGTCACAGGTGCTTGCAAGAAAGAACATGCTAATTATACTCAGTTGTACAGGCTTCTGAATAGGGAGAAAACTCACATCTCATCATATCTTCTTTAAGGATAAGCACTTCTATCTTTCAAAAAGGTCGTTGGAGGTGGCTTTGCTCTCTTCCTCCACACCTGAAGCAGGTGCACCTCCAACAGGTGTATTGTTTACCATGTGTTCCTCACTGCAGTAGCTGACCTGATGGTATTTATTTTATTTGTCTTTTCCCATGGAATGTGAGCTCCCAAAAGCTGACACTTGTTTTCTTTGAGGCTAAGAAGAATGTCATGCATGCTATAGGTGCTGGTGAATAGTTGATAATTGAACGGTCCTAATTGGTATCCGCTCCTACTTCATGTTTTCACAAGGACTCTAAATTTGCATGCTCTGCTATCATTTGTTTATGCTCATTCTAAGAAGAGCTATATTGTTTAACATCAACCCTGAGTGGAAAACTCAAACATACATTGTTCATAATCTTTCTATAAATTAGTAGCACATACCTATCTTACCTATTTTTGAAATTTGTGTTTTAATCCTTAATGCAGGAGACAGGGTTTCACTATATTGCCCAAGTTGGCCATGAATTAGTTGTTTCACGCTCCCAAGTGCTGGGTGTACAGGTATATGGTATCATACCCTGTACCCCAGTCATTTTCAAATTCTTTTTAATAGACTGCAAGACTAAAACATGGAGAGTTAGGTAAATTGCCCAGGAGTTTTGGTGGGATAAGAAAAATGAAAGCTGAGACCCTCTGCTGAAATATTTAGTAATTTTTTCTGACATAATACTGCTTGTCTATAAAGACTATTTGTTAAAAATTAATTCAGACATGCAATAAATAATTCTCCCCACCCTTGGTAAGACAGTCTTGCTACAATAATCCAGCTGGCCTAGAACTCTGTTTCCCAGCCTCAGCCTCTTGACAGATGGATTTACAGGATTGCATCACAATGCCCAGCTACTTTGTCCACTTAAGAAAATGTCTGTCTTGGGGCTGGGAAGGAGGCTCAGTGGTAGAGTGCTTGCCTTGCATGCATGAGACCCTGGGTTCTATTCCTCAGCACCGCATAAGCAAAAAGAAAAAAGCCGGAAGTGGCGCTGTGGCTCAAGTGGTAGAATGCTAGCCTTGAGCTGAAGAGCTGAGGGACAGCGCCCAGACCCAGAGTTCGGGCCCCACAACCGGACCACCACCACCACCACCCCCCCCCCCCCCGCCAAAAAAAAAAGAAAAAGAAAATGTCTGCCTTGTTTCTATTCTAGAGGAAAAGAAAGTAACAAGTAATAAATCATTGATTGAAAGCTACTTGCCCATAAATAATCTATCAGTGCATTTCCTTGTGAATTCAGCCTTCCTGTTGGTAGCCCTCTGCTGGTCCTGCATATCCTCATTCTGGGGGACTTAACCAGGCTATTTAAGTTTACCAACCGGGTGCTAGTGACTCAGGCCTGTAATCCTGGCCACTCAACAGGCTGAGATCTGATGATTGCTGTTTGAAGCCAGCTGGAGCAAGAAAATTGGGAAACTTTTATCTCCAATTAATCACTAAAAAAGACTGAAGTGGAAGTGTGGCTCAGGTAGTACAATCCTGGCCTTGAATGAAATAGCTAAGGCTAAGTATTGAGTTCAAGCCCCAGTACTGGAACAAAATAATAATAATCATCATCATCATCATCATCATCATCATCATAAACCTACGCCCATCCAGTTCTCAACCCAGACATTTCCTCCTGTGATCTTGCCAACTCCCCAGCCCACAAAAGGGTGTGAAGGGCCCTTCTGCTCTCAGGAAGCACAAATCTCCTTCCTCTTAACTCCCTTATGGTAGCCAAAACTCTACTAATTTACTACCAGTCGGGCTTCGGTCAAGTTACTTAACCTCTTCTGTGCCTCTGTTCCTTAGTCCTTAGATGGGATTTACTCAGACCAAAGCATAGACAGAACCTTATCTTTACCAGTCAAGTGTTCTGGACTCTAGTGATAAGACTTCTCCAATTAGGAAGCTGAACTCACTCCATTTAATTTAATTAGACAATCCCTAACTGTTGCCAATTTCAATGAGCAATCAGAGGACAGATTTGTCTTGTTTGCCAACTTATGCAGCACGTGACTGAACAAGGCAGAGACTGGGATTCCAGCTTGGTCATACCTAGAATCCTACTATGCCTGAGACGTTGTCCAAAACCAACCAACCAACCAAACAAACCAAAACAGTTGCTAATTAATAACTTAAGTACATAGAGAGTCTTATTTCAAAAGATGAAATTTTAGATTAATTATTTTAAGGACAGACCCTTACAGAAGAAAGTAGTAGTGAGAAACAATACACAGTTAAAAGAGAATTTTAAAATAACTGTATAATAAGTAATGCAACGGGGGCTGGGAAGGTGGCTCAGTGGTAGAGCGCTTCCCTTGCATGCCTGAGGCCCTGGGTTCGATTCCTCAGCACCACATAAGCAGAAAAAAACAGAAGTGGGGTTGAGACTCAAGTGGTAGAGTGCTAGCCTTGAGCTGAAGAGCTGAGGGACAGTGCCCAGGCCCAGAGTTCAGGCCCCACGACTGACAAAAATAAATCCATGAATAAATAAGTAAATAAATAAAAAATAGATAAAGCAACAAAAGAGCATTCAATTCCCCATGAGATAGTTACAGCAAATAGTTGTTATCAAATAGTAGATTATTGTTCAAGCCTATCACCCCCCCAAAAAAAAGTGGCTAAAGAAGTATATCTTATGCTATTTTACCTCAGTGGGTTATTGGAAAATAATTTGTCCTGAAGTAAACCCAAACTTAAATCTCCAGGATTGATCTTGAACTTTCATGAAGTATTATTTAGTTTAAGCCTCGAATGATTTGACTCGCACATTAGTGGCTCTTACATTCCTGCCAAATCTTCCTGAAAATATTTGTCTTGGTTTTCCAGGATGACACTGATTTGATACAGAAACTGAGTATATATTAAAAAAGTTAAAATAAAGAGAAAGAAGTAGGTAACCAGGTGATAGTTATAGAAGTACATTGCATATACACATGAAAGAGTTTAATACCACCCACCAAAATCATTTAAAAGGAGTAGAAAAGGTAAAGGATTAAAGAGTACTGTAGAGAGGGGTGGTTTGACCAAAACACGTTAGATGCATATTGTAAACGTCACAATGGAGCCACTTTGTAGAATTAATCAGTGCTAATAAAACTTAGATAAATGAACTGTCCAAGCTGAGCCTGGTTTTGAATTAAAGTCTTATCCCTAGTGCCAAGAAAATGCCTGCTGCCTTCCTAGCATATGTGTTCAATACTTGTATTTGCATTCGCCAATTATTTCCCCTCAGAGATGCTGTGTGACTGCTTTTAATTTGGACATGCTAGAGTGCTTTGTCCAATATCCAAACCTCACAAATAAATGTTTGGATGGAAAACTGATTAATGGTTCCATGTCTATCTCCATGCCAAAGTATGTGCACAGATTCTAATCCACTGGGATCCATGCCCAACACACAGTTGATGATCCTGTGATCCAGGAGATTATTGTCAAATGTCTCAACTAGAATCCTTCAGCCAAATGGCTCTGTACTTGAATGTAAAAATCAATGTAGGTTTGTATCCACTATAAACTTAGATGTTTCTAGCATTTTTCTAATGGTAAACATTAAACGACTCTGCAGTGAAAGTAGTCATAATTACTAACTTTTTTTGTTTCATTTTGCCGCACTTTTATTTGAACAACCTTTTGTTAAGCATTTTAATATAATTCAGCTGTTTCTAGGGTTTTTTAAATTAACTTAAATGCATTTTAATTTGGGCCCGAAGACAGTTAACTACTAACTAAATACCAAAGATTTGTTACAAAAGCAATATTTTAATTCTTAGTGATGCTTATCTTTAGGATTTCCCTTTTGCTTTTTTTTTTTTTTTTTTTTTGGTACTGGTCCTGAGGCTTGAATACAAGGCCTAGGCACTGTCTCTGAGCTTCTTTGGCTTAAGGTTAGCTCTCTTCCACTTAAGCTACAGCTCCACTTCACACTTATTTTTTTTAGTGTTTGATTGGAGAGAAGGGTCTCTACCACTAAGCCACATTCCCAGCCTTTCTCTTAGCTTCAATCTCATCAAAGGAATAGGAACAATAGTTTCTATGAATGAATATGAACATACTATATTGAAAAATACAAAATCTCTTCTCCCACAATCTAGGTTTTTCTGATAGAACTTTTAGCTCTCTTAGCCTGGTCTATAGTATACTAACTGTAGCAAAGATAATCTCAACATGAAGCTAATTTCAATTGGGTAGAATATACTGTTTTTTAATAAAGATTATGTTTAAATACTTGATCAATTGTTTTGAGTCATGATTATGAAGTAGTTAATTTTTTCAATATCAATAGTTTCAGATCATGATTTATAAAGCATGGAAAACTAGGTCAATTAATTGACTTGCCATAACTGATGATAATTCTAATTTAACAGCCAATTAGACCTTTCAGATTCAATGAAAATTTCCATTAAACTGTATTTGAGGACATAGAAAGAGGAACTTGTCCTGAGCATTAATTAGATCATTAGAAATTAGTCTTCCTGTCTCCAGTCTTATGTATCCTGAATTTATAATTAAATTCTTTCTAAATAGCAATGTATTCATGTCACTCTTCAGCTCAAAAGCTTCAGTGGCACTGACAAAGCTGTCCAGTTGATTGTAGGGATGGTTTCCAAATATTCTAAAAAGTCAGCTCTGCCTAAACAATAAAAATTTAAGCATACAAATATACATTTCCTCCGTCTAAAATTGTGTACTCTATAATTATTCAATGTTGTAAAGTATAAATATCTCAGAGTTCATTGCTAATAATAATGGCTTCAA